CAGCACTGGTGAGGTTGAGACAGGAGGATCACTACCTGGCTGGTTAAGACCAAGGTAAAGCAGGACCTATGCAACAAGAGTTGTAGCTTTTTAGTCTGAGAAGGTCAGTGAAATGCCCTCAGGATTTGTCCTGAGATCCTGTACCTCAGATTGTAGAACCCTTTATCAGTGCAGCCATGTGGATGAGTCACGGCCATTGCTTGGCCAATGTGCTCTCTGTGAAAGCCTGTGAAAGAGAGTATCTTCTCCCCATGTGACTCTCCTTAGGCAACACAAATGAATTTCATGTTGAGACTTTTGTCACATCTCTCAAAATACCTCATATATATGTGCAGATACTCCAGAATCTGAAGAAAAAAATCCAAACTCTGAAATATTTCTGGTCTCAAACTTTTTGGATATGGCATACTTAAACTTTGAGTCTAGATATTTTAACTTTGTTTCTCTTAGAAAAACACTGCCTTAAGATTTGTCAATTTTGTAAATAATCTTTTTAGTAAGATATAAATCTATCACTGAAGATGTTGATGTTCATTTTATAGATTATACTAGAAAAGCTTAAAAAATGAGATATGCAAAATTCTTTATGTTTTAATTGTTTCTATTTTATGCTTTTTGACTTTTAGCAGTACTGGAGATTAAACTCAGGTCCTTGAACTCATGCTAGGCAAGCACTCTACCACTGAGCTACAACCCTAATCCAGAATTATGTGCAAAATGTTTTTTAAGTCTTACTCTTTTTATTTTATTTTAAAATGTAGGTCTTGTGTATCAAACACAGTTCATTATATTAACAGTTCACCTACTGAAGTGGTCAAGTACTTTAGAAAATAATGCAGTACTATTCAATGTATTTGGAAGGATTTTCAAATGCATATTCCTAGACCAGTCCGGTCACATTAAACTGAAATGTGGAGGTTGAGCCAAGAGTCTAGCCTTCTTTTCCTTTCCTTTTCTTTTTTTTTTTTTTTTTTTTTTTTTTTTTTTTTTTTTTTTTTTTTTTTTTTTTTTTTTTCTCTTTCTTTTTTTGAGATTATATTTGAACTCACTGTATAATCCCGGTTGGTCCTTTTTTTTTTTTTTTTTTTTTTTCGGAACTGGGGATTGAACTCAGGCCCTTGTGCTTACCAGGGAAGTGCTTATTCTACTGAGCCATCTCTGGCCCCCAGGCTGGTCTTGAACTTGCACTGATCCTCCTGCCCCAGAGTCCTGAGTTCATCTGCCACCACACCCAGCAAGGAGTCTACATTATTAACAGTTTCTCAAATCACTTTTACACACCTGAGACTTTGAGAACTATTGGAATAAAGGGTTCAACCTTAACCCTCAATGATTCTGAAATAAGATATGGGGAAATTGTAATTTTTTTCAAAATAATGCTGAGAGCAGAGTCAAACCCTCTGATGGATTATGCTTAAGTGTGAAAACCTAGATTCTTCTTTTTTGAGATACAAGTTATGACATTTCAACAGTTACTCCAGTATTCTGTGTACCTTATAAGCTCTCATTAGTGTTTGCAAAGCGTAATCTTTAACTATAAAGAATATTACCCTCCTAGAAATTTAAAATGGTAAGAGTTGAGATTAACTAGACCAAGGTTATCATTGTGATGCAGAGGATAAAGAAAAGAAAAACTATGTATTAAATATATTAGCTATATTATATATAATTATAAAGTACTAGAAACTATAAAGTATAAATTCTACCAATAGGAAATATTGTATATCCCAGCATGAAATATGCAGCCAGTAAAGTTAGTGATAATGGAGACTATCATGACATGGGCTATTAACTAGAGCATTAGGTTGTATGCAAAAGAATGTGGTCTTGTAAATATAATGTAATAATTAGTGTGAAAATAACAGGAATTTGTTTCTGCACACAAAATTTGTGAAGTTAGTCTAATAGTAATTCAAAGATTTTGTTAATGTTTTCCTTTTAAAAATACACTAATGGAGGAGAAGAGAGATAGTCTATGTGGTGAAAGCAGAGAGACAGCTTGTGGCATCGGAAAGCGAGAGATGAGGAAGAGCACTATGGGAGTAATCTGGGCAGGAGTCAGCTTCTGTATTTAGAGTTGGTGGCAATAAACAGGAACTATGTGCTTTGGTTTCTCAAATTTTTTTTAAATGTGAACTTTCATTAAACAAAAACTCTGCATTTTTTCCTAGAAATCATAGTTAAATCAGAATATTATCTAAACCTTCTTATACCTCCTACTGTTTATAGCCTAATATTAAGAAATCCATACCATTCCTCCATTTCTAAAATTAGTTACTGATTTAGGGCTTTGGGTCCTTTTAAGTGAATTGGCTGCTGACCTACAGAAAGAAATGATGGTCTGACCCACTCACTACAGAGCAGTGGTTATCCACTATAAGTACTATTGACAGCTGGTGACCAGTAGGCTTTGTCTTCAAATACAAATCATGAAACTGTACCTTTCTTGGAGAAGATGGTGTCCAAGACAAAGCATACATCTGCCACAAGTTCAGGAAACTGCAGCATAGCCTCCTGTCTCTTAATGCGCTGTAGATACCGTATCCCTTGTGTAAACATCAATCTGGGACCACAGAGATGGCTTAGCAGTCTAAGCACCTGTGTAGGCAAGCACAAGGACCCAGGTTCAATTCCCCATGCATGCCAGGAGGACAGGCTGCCCCAGGTGAACCAAGTGAGCCACCAAGACCAGGCATGGTGGCACATGCCTATAATCCCAGCACTGGTGAGGTTGAGACAGGAGGATCACTACGAGTCTGAGCTACATAATGAGATCCTGTACCAAATACATTAAAAATTGTAAACGGCAATTTCTGGGCAGTGAAAAAATTATAAATGAGTTAATTAAGATGGAAGAATACAATAGCAACTTCAGTATAGAATTGACACATTAATCTTTCCTAAATTTTTTATATATCCTCCATTAATCTGTTTTGCTGCTCTTACCGAAGACATGATATGATATATGATATGATATGATATGATATGATATGATATGATATGATATGATATGATATAATGTGATATATATGATACAGCATGGCACTTCAGCTTCCTGAGTTGTGTTCATGCTCCCTTGTATTTCATGTAACAATAGCATTTTTCCTGATACTCTTGAATGTATCTATCTTTTTTTTTTTTTTTTTTTTTTTTTTTATGGCACTGGGGATTGAACTGAGGGCCGTGGGGTAGTCGAGCTCTTTCCTTTGAGTTACCACCCCAGCTCCATGAACTTAGCATTTAAAGGATTCAGAAGTAAAATTCATTAGCAGTTTTTGTTACCTAGTTTTTAAGTAAGTCTATCCTATGACATATTTTAGCTATCTTCTAATTTTAAAGATACTTTGCCAGGTTTTAGAAATTAAAGCAAGAGCTTCTTCTTTGTGGTATAACTTGCTATGCTTTTTTGCATGCAGTAGACGTTAACTAAGGTCTTCCTGTGAACTCCACACATCTTTTTTAAATAAGTATTACAGTAGAACAAAATTCCAAACAAAAGCAGTTATTTTGTTTGCTAGTAAGTAACCTCACTCAAATCACATAAAAATTATTCCGGGAGAATAGTGTATAGGTATTGTTTTTCTACCTTTAATTTTTATTTTTCTATCTTTTGACTCCTATTTGTTCCTTTCCTAAGCATAAATGCTCTTTTGGAGGTTTAATCAGTCAACCAGTATTTATTGGAAGTATTTAAAGTGGAAGGCACTGAGCAAGCTGTTGTGAAATCCCTAAATAATTTAAGATGAGGTTTCTGCCCTATCTACTTAGAGAGGTAAGACATATTTCCATCAAAACATAATTAATGATTCTAGGTGGTAAATAAGTGCTAGATCAGTTTTTAGAGTTTACTTTATGTATCTCATAGATAAGCATTTATTCTCCCTTTCCTTCCTGTTCTATTATGCAAGTGAAATTGTGTCCAGGAGAGTAAAATAAACCCTGAAGCTTTCTTCCTTTATAAAGCCATTATTAAGTTCCTGCTGCCCTCTGTGCCAGACTCTGGCTCCAGCTTCAGTTTAGTGTCGTTTTGTCCTTGCGATGACTTTGTGAGGTAGTCTCCCTCCTGCTTTCTCAGTGAGGAGACCGAGGGCTGGAGCTACTTGTGCAGGGTCACCCTGCTAATCACCAGTGGAACCAGATTCCTTCAGTCTGATTAGTGTATTTTTTCTCCTCTCTTTGCGTTTTGTTGGATGATGATAGAGGAAGCCTTATGAATAAAGAATAATAATGAAAATTATAATTATGAAAAGCAACAGTAGAAAGACTCTCATACTGTGAGATATTAAATGTATTACAAAGACTCTTAATGTATTCCTTATAAGAAATTCATCATTCTCTAGGTCCATTCTCTTAGCTGTAGAACATTTTAAAAGATTCTGACTTTTTTAAAATCTTAAGTATGGAAGTCTTGAATACAATGATATTTATCTATTCTTATATTTTAAAGTTTAGTGTTTACTACCAATAGTAATCACTAATAAGAATACTGAATCTTTAGATTCTACTAAGTCTCAGGTCTAATGTCCAGATTGTTCAGAAGTCTTTACAGTATTTTTATTTAGATAGCTGGGATATTAACCAGTAGCCTTGGTGATACTTTATTATATATCTTCAGTCAGTATTCTCATTAGCTAAGTATTGAATTGCAGGTTCAGATCTTGATGTTTGGTTTCACCGTTAGATGTTCTGGCAATGTCACCTTTTCTTTTTTTCTTTGTGTGTGTGTGTGTGTGTGTGTGTGTGTGTGGTACTGGGGATTGAACTAAGGAACCTACGCTTGCCAGGCAAGCACTTATTCTACTGAGCTATCTCCCCAGCCCCTACCTTTTCATTTTTTAATCTTATATATGGAAGTGTGTTTGTAGTAGCAGCGATTGAACCTGAGACCTTCACATTGAGCTACATTCCCTAACCCATTTGTAACTTTTTTTTTTTCCCCTGTGAGACATTGTCTCAATAAGTTCCCCAGGTTGGGATTAAATTTATAGTTCTCCTCCTTCAGCCTGCCAGAGTTCTGAGAATACAAGCATGCACCAGCAGGCCCCACTGTCACTTTTATAAAACCGAAATATATGTGGATCAAAGAGGCATAAAATCTGTAGGTGAATAAGGTGTTTCCTTGCTCCTCACAGCCACGCACCTATTTTGCCTGATAGGCTGAAGCACTGGCCTCCCTCGGGACCCTTGATTAGCCTTGGTTGGCTCTGCCTCCAGGAAATGGGAAGCTGTTCCTATTCTTGGTGCCTCTGCAGTGCTGTGGCTGCAGGCATCCTCTCCATTCCTTTGCTGCACTGTGCCTATGAATCTACTGAACACCAGTGTCTGTACTATGTATAACAAGTATCCAGTCAGTAAAATACTAAAATACAATTATCTGCAGCCATGTGTGTGCAGTGTCTCTTATAGGTAAATGAAAAATTCATTTATATTTTGTCTTTATTTTCAGCGTTCTTACTTCCGTACCCTCCTCATGTGCGGGTTCCACTTTCTGGTGTGGTTCCTTTGTGTGAAAGGAATCAGGGACACACAGTGTGGGTTCAAATTACTAACCAGAAAAGCAGCTTCATGGACATTTTCATCTCTGCACATTGAAAGATGGTAGGTGTCTTTAACTGAATGTATCTGGCATATCTTGTTACTCTGAAGTTATTTCTGATAATAAGAAGCAGTGTTAGATTTTCACAGTGACTTTCCAGATTGGAGCAAATTTGATGTCATATTTGTAAAACTTATACTCTACTAATTTGAATCTTATTTTGGAAATAAGCACAACATATAGTCAAAGTTATATATTTCCCTTTATTGTGCACAGTATCAACTGAGCAGCCTGAAAACATCCTGTTTCCTCGAGCTTCCTTTTTTTACCCTTTGAAGAAATAGTAGAGTTCTAAGCAAAATAAATTCCTTTTCCTTTCTTTCCTTCCTTTGATAAGACATAAGGTCTCTCTTAAGAGCAGTTCTCCAACTTCTTCATAATCTTCCGTCTTCCTAAAATCCTAATCCTGTTCATTCGTTGTTTCTCTTGTGTATTGGCTGCCTCCTGGCACATCTTTCCCCAGCCCTCCCCATTGACCCCCTGCCCATGTCTTTCCACCTGCAGCCCTGTCTCTGTCCTTACACAAGCAGCTTTTTCTGAAAAAAGTGGTCTCTTTTTTTTTTTTTTTTTCAGAACCAGGGATTGAACTCAGGTCCTTGTGCTTTCCAAGAAAGCACTTATTCTACTGAGCCATCTCCCAGCCCCCTAAAAAGTGTTCTTTATTCACTGTTGTTTCTTTTCTCATATCCCATTTTCATAAGGATTTAGTCCTGCCTCCTTTGGGTCCTGTTAAATGCCTGTCCTATCTAATGCCAATTAAAGGTATTTCTTACTTCTGAGCCCTCTCTCAAAGTGCACTGTTCCCTCCACATCTGTCTAACCATAGACTTTGCCTCGGCTGTCAATCTAGAGTTAGCTAATAGCACTGTCGTACAGAAGCTAGAAACCTGGGCATCAGCCCTCACATTCCCCCAGCCCTCCGTATATTCAGTTGTTGACCAGAGTCTGTTGATCTCTTCATTTGTCTCCATCCCCACTGACATCATCCTTAGTCCTGGACTTTCAGGGCCTTTTCAAAACATAAAACTGGTCACGTGCACCTCTTCTGCTTAAAGTCCTTCTGTGGCTTCCCACGGCCTTTAGAGGCACTGCATAGTCTGACCACTCCTGTCTCCATGCAGATTCCTCTTCTTCACAACTTCTTCATGTCTTCCTTAGGGCTGTGGGCCTCATGATCCAGATGAGCACAGCTATCCCAATTATATGCTGTAGGGGCCATGTAGTTTGTTTCATCTGTCACATCTGTGGTTCTTTCTGATTTGTGTATTAAGTTTCTTCCTCCCTACTGAAGCAGATTTTTTTTTTTTAACCAGAACAAGAATCCTATCTGATTTATGCTTACTACTGTATCCCAGAAGTCCCCCACTGTTTTAGAACCAGGGACCAGTTTTGTGGAAGACAGTATTTCATGGACAGGGTGTGAGCATTTTGAGATGATCAGAGCTCATAATATTTACTGTGCACTTTATATCTGTTATTACTACATTGTAATATACAATGAAAAATCTATAAAGCTCACCATCATGGAGAATCAGTGGGAGCTCTGACCTTGTTTTCCTGTAACTAGATGGGTGGATCAGGAGGTGATAGGAGACAGCAACGCACAATCTGTGTTGTGTATGTCCATCTACTGCATAATCTCACTTTGCTTCTATCACTGCAGAAAATGCTATTTCAAAAAGATTGGACATTGGAAATAGGAACAGGTTTTTCTGTGCTTTTGTGGCAATGTCAGGATATTTTTGTCTTCACTTTAATTGGAGGTTTACAGTTGTCTCAAAAATAATTTTAAGGCCCCCATCATTTGTAGTCTTAGCAGTAGATCCTCTTCTAGCATGAACAAAGTCATCCACCTGGCTGATTCATAAGTGGATGGTGAATCCTTTCCTTCCCAGTTCAGGGCTCTTTTGGGATGGGGAAGTAGTGTCTACAGTCTTTTGAAAGCTGAGATAGGTGATCATGCACTGGGAGAATCAAAACCCTGGCTTAATATCTTTTAAAAACACTTGCTAATGTTTGAACCTGTCAAAAATATTCATGTGTCAGTCCCATAATTACAGTCTGGCTTTGAATGCAATGCCTCCATCTGCTGACTTGGAGTTGGTGTTTTCCCCTGAAATGACGGAGTGAGTACACCAAGCAGGCTGAGTATGGCACAGGAGTAAGCAAATGTTGTGGTCTGTTCTTTACTGAAATACACTGCTAGTGATGACTGGTTTTGTTTTTCTTTAAAGAATTCTCTTGAGCAGCTCTCAACTCAACAACTAGCAGGAGGATGTGAGGTAGTGGTATAGACTTTAGTGTGGTTGGTAATTTTAACCACATGCTGCAATACACTGAAGTGCCAGTGGTATTTTTCATGACACTTTATAGATGACACTGCCTAGACATGCTCAGAAGTGACCTCTTTAACCCAAACAGTACAACCAGAAAGTCATTCAGTTGTGGTATCTTCTCTGTCCATGCATTTACTGACAAAATGACCAGTTCTGTTTTCCTAATATATAATCATTCAAAGACTTAAGTAGTTCTGCAGCCACACATGGTATTGGTTGTCAACAAAAGTGCACATAACATATTCTCAAACACGTTTTCCTAAAAAAAAAAAAATTATGGCACAGACTACAGCATCTCTGCCTTCTCAACATTGTAGACTTGTCAACCTGAATAGTGTACCATGGTGACTCAGTAATCCTCTCTAATAATTGTGACTCAGTATCTTATCCTAACTCATCAGTTTGTCTACGTAGGTGAAAACCAGAAGAGGAGCATGGGCCACTTTGTGAACTGCAGCCTCTCCCAAAAGTTCATGACAGGATCAATTTTCCACCAGTATTAAAGGACTTAAGCTTAGCAGTGCAGGTAGTCACTAGGAAAGGTGCCATCAGTGCAGATACTTTTGGTGAAGTGATGGCCTTCAGTCATTGATTTGTTTGTGTTCATAATGTTTCCTACCAAGGCTTCTTGTTTAACTGCTTGGTCTCCACATGGTGAAGCAATTTTGAAGGTTTCCTACTTTTATTGGGTAGCTAGTTGCCAAATACACATCATGGAGAATGAATCACCTGTTGCAATGAAACCATAATTTATGTACGACTGTTGGTATTTTGTTGTTAAGTGCAGCCCTTATTTTCTGGCAGTCTTCTGCTGTCTCATCATTGTGTCTTCTCCCTTTTCATAGAAGCTCTCCAGTGATACTTTTTTTTTTCTTACTTTGGCCTAGGATTAGCTTGTGGGCTTATCAAACTTACAGCTGAGGCAAGAGTACTGTACAGGGAAGAGTTAAGGATTGCAGTGGTAAATAAAATAATCAGCAGAACATGGATGTCAGATTCTCTCAGCCTGCCAGAGTTGAAGTACATCAGCCCACTGGCTACTCCAAAGCCTGCCACCAGATGGCACCTAATTGTCTCTTGTCACTCATGGATAGTGTTTTAATGAGTATGCAAGCAGCTGATTTATGGTAGTCTCTGTGCAGTCAAACCTTTCTGCTGTTAATCTGTATTTGCAGTCAATCTCCAATTCTAGCATCACCACCTCAGCTGTACTCAAGGTCATCAGGTATTAGATTCTCATAAGGAGCTCAAACCTAGATTTCTTGTGTGTGCAGTTCACGTGTAGGGTTTGTGCTCACGTGACTGTAATTTCTCTGCTAATCTGGCAAAAGGAGGAGCTAAGGTAGCACTGCATGGGGAATGGCTGCAAACACAAATGCAGCTTCCCTGGCTCACGCATCCCTAACCTGCTAAGCAGTGCGCTCCCAGTGGCTAGGGACCCTGCACTGTTGGGCAGTGCCTGGCATATGCCAGGTGCCCAGTAAATAGTATGAATTATCAGTACTTAGTGTTAGTCATGAGTTCTCTGTGAATCCTCTTCCCACTTGATAGCTGCCTAATTATCCCAGTATATGTCCAGTTTTTAAGTTTCTGCCTCTTTCAAGCATTTGTTCACAAGATATATTGTCTCCCAAGAAACATGTCATGTAACTTTTTTAAAGAAACTGTTATTTCCAATTAAAATTATTTTGCAGACACAGGAGTACATTTTGAGACAAGTCATAATAGTGATAAAAAAGAGCTATTATGTCATTAAGAGATATGAAAAAAGAGATAAGAATGTATTGAAATGTCCACTTTATTAAGTGTAACAGCAGCACATAATAGCACTGCCAGTTCTTTTCAAAATGTATTAAAACAGATAACAAGAAGTTGTTTAAAATGATATTTACTTGTTTTAATCTGTCTGGGAATGAGATGCTGAGCACATTTCTCTATTTTAAATTTTATTTACTTATTTTTCAATGTATTTAGTACAGGGTCTCACTACATAGATTGGATTCATAGTGATTCTCCTGTTTTCAGCCTCCCAAGCGCTAGGATTACAGGCACGCAGCACTACACCCAGTCTCAGTCATCTTAGTGAGCCCGGGGGGCAGGGCCAGCATGACCTGAAGGGGAACTAACCCAGCTGGCAGCTGTACTCTGCCTAAGCAGGTGCTTTAGTCCAACATTTTTCTGTTTTTTGAAGAGTGTTTTTGACTTGTGCTGCTTAAAATCTTTCTAAGCAGAGAAAATCAAGAATTGCTTTAAGTATGTATGGAGATAGATATGTTAATTAGCTTGATTATAGGGGTCATTTCACCACATGCATGTTTTTCAAAACATGACATTTTATATCTTAAATATTTATGGTCTTATCTGTTCATTATACGTGGTAAATTTTTTTCTTTATTTATAAACAGTGAAAGAAAGCATGTCCAGAAGTATACTCTTCTGTATTAGATGTTTGTCAGTCACCTATTAGATACAACAGTGGAACTCTATTATTCTAAGAACTCTATTATTCTCTGTAGTTTGAAGGGAAGGATTTAGAAATGAACTGTACTGTTTTTAATTTTCAGGAACTTTTTTTTTTCTCAGAAGTAAAATAGAAATCAGTTTCTTTGTGCTGAGCTGTATTCCTAATCTTTTTTTCTGAAATAAATTTTCACTAAGTTGCCTACCTGGTCTTTAATTTGAGCCTTCCTTCTTCAGCCTCCCAAAGTGCTGGGATTACAGATGTACACCACCACACCTAGCCAGGAGTCTTTTCTTGTGCCTGAAACATGGAAGGTTAGCATTTATTACCTATAGGTCATAAAGTTTCCCTGTCAAGAGTGTGTTAAGGCAGCATTGTTCAGTACATGAGGTACATGTAGATTCAGGCTATGTGTACATAATTCTAAGATTTTTCATAGTTGCATTAAAAAAGTAAAAAACATGAAATTTATTTTAATAATGTGCTTCAATACATACTATCCAAAATATAATTTCATTGGGAAAAAATATGAACTAGTTTTACTGCATCTTTGAACTGTCAGTACATCTCATTTCAGACTTGCCATGTTGCAGTATACTAGATAACACTGTGTGTGTACATGTATTTGAAATTAAAAAGCATTGGGTTTTGCTTTTGTTGTTGTTTTGCAGTAGCAGGCATTAAACCTGAAACCTTGTGCTTGCTGTCACTGAGCTATATCCGTCCCTTTTTACATTTTTGTTTGGAGCCAGCGTCTCATGAAGTTACTGAGGCCAGCCTTGAACTTTGAATCCTCCTGCCTCAGCCTTTCAAGTCTGGGATTGTAGGTATGCATCGCCACATCCAGAATGATTTTTTTAGTTATTTACTTAGGACTTGATTGAGATAGTATTGACTTCGCTTGAAATTTTAAACTCACATTTTTCTTTAGGGTCCAGTTAAGTTTATTTTGTGCCTGTCAAGGAGCATTAGAAAATAAGCTTATATCGTATACATAGCAGTACACCCTTCACCACAGTAATAGTTTGTCAGTGTTTTTTTTTTTTTTTTTTTGCGGAACCGGGGATTGAACTCAGGCCCTTGCACTTGCCAAGGAAGCACTTATTCCACTGAGCCATCTCCCTGGCCCCTGTCAGTGATTTTTATTTAAAATTACATTACTGCTCTTTAAAAATCAGGAAAGACTAGAGCTGGGATATAGCTTAGTGGTAGAGGACCTGTCTGAATCCTGTCCCTAGCACTACAGAAAAAGAAGTGAAGGAAGAAGACAGGAGGGGAGAGAAGAGAGAAAGAAAAGGAAAGGAAGAAAGTTTTTTTTTCTTGCACAACAAAAAATGTAGAACTGGACTTGTGTGCATGGGCAGAGCTTCTGACTCACTGGTAGATGTCACCACAGGTTAAACCGGCAAACCATATGAGAGAAGTCTAGCTGGTGTTATCCTCTGGGTCATTGTCTCTAAAGTGGGCTCCATCTCCTGCCTAGGAGCGTGAGTCTGGGTGTGGGCATTCACAGAAGGCGGTGTAGGGAAGCAGAATCGGCACCTAGATGTCTAGGAAGGCTGCCGTCGAAGCCGATCCGGCACCCTTGTGTCCTCCACACATCACCCGAGTCCCTGACCCCGGCACCAGTTAGCCAGGCTTTACCCCTGCTGTTGACCACTACTTCTAGATAACACCAAATTATCCAGCTATTTTATAACTTCCAGACTTACTTATTACTTACTTAATTTATTTAAGAACAGGGTCCCTATGTAGTTCACTGTGTAGCCTAGGCTGGCCTTGAACTCTTGCTGATCCTCTTGCCTCAGCTTTGTTAGTCCTGGGATTGCAGGCATTGCCACCATGCCTGGCCAAACTTTTTTACTGTCATCACCTCCCCTTTTTGTTCTTGTGTATTTCTTCTGTCTCGTTGCTTTAATTTCAGTAGAATTTCAGGAAAGAATCAAGAGTGGGGGCTTTCTGTGTCTGTTGTGACTAACAAGGTCCCAAATGCCCTTTGCTCTTAAGGACTGTATGTGGCTCTGCCCACCCGTGCTTGCAAAAACAGTTGAAATGTCTTAGGTAAAGAGTAACCTTTCATGCTGCTTCCAGTGGTGTTGTCTTGGTCCAAACGTACATAATATTTTAGTCAAGTTTTTTGCTTTGATAATAGATTAGGCATTTATGATATGGTGGTATGAGCTGCAATTTTTTGTAATAAGTATCTTCATGTATTCTAAATTGTTTAGAAGAAGAAAGGTATGATAAAAACTTTCACTGTAGGGTGGTTTTGTTTCTTTTTTAATATAAAGTGATTCCAGCTAATCAATGGCTATTTCTCATATTCATCATTCTTGTGATTTATGCCTCTAATAAGTCATTGGCTGTACTCTGATACCCATTAGGGAAATATTTAATGTCCTCTTCACTTTAATGACTATCATTTTAACTAACTCAGTCCTATAACTCATTTTTTTAGCTGTAGTAAGTATTGAATCCAGGACATTGTGGGTATTAGCCTATCACCCCTCCGCATTTGGTGGTATCAGGTATTGGGCTACATCATCAGGCCTTTATTTTTTTGAGACAAAGTCTCACTAACTTGCTCAGACTGGGCTCAAATTTCTGATCCTCCTGCCTTAAACTATCAGAGTACTGGGATTACTACTAGGCATGACAACACAAGGTTTAATATTTTAGAAAATTAAGGGTTAAGTACCAGGTCAGTATTGAATCTCTTTCATAAGTATCGCAATTCTAGATAACAGAAGTTTTATATAATCTTTTCATAGTCACAAAGAGCCCACTTCTGTAGTGATTTTATTATCTTCACTGAGTAGTTTATTACGATAAGGGAAAATACTTACTTGAAAGTTTTTATATTAAATTATCAAAATACTTGGAAATTTGAAGTAGTTGTATAATGGATGGTGATAGCATTGTGGCCGAAACAAAATCTACAGATCATGTTGTCGGCATCTGAGAACTCAAGTACAAGTAGGTTTCAGGTTTTTTCTTGTCTGTGTTCATGTTTTAAAAGCAACCCCTGAAAATTTAAACTGTGCTCCATGCAACCTAGAAAGGCAGGGAGAAGGGCTTTATAACTGAGGGACAGTAAGATAAAACACTCCAGGGACTTCAGAGACCACTAAGGAGCATGAAGAGTAAGAGTTAGAGGTGCATCTCTTCCTGCAAAAGGCAAGTGGTTCAGAGAAATTTTCTGCATAGATTATGGAAAAATCTCTGGATCAAAACCTTTAGGGAAAACAAATTTGACCCACAAGCAAAGGACTGACTGAAGAAGTTTACGAAAGAACCTGTCTTGTGTAAAAACAAAGGATGAATGTGGGATCCAGACCAGAACTGTTCGTAGCAACTCCTAAGTATCAGGAGAATGTACCTGCTTCTTATGTATTGTGCCTGCTCGCACCCAGAGTAGTGTTCCGGGCTAAAGCAGCTTCTCACTTTTTTAGTAGCTGCCACTACTTCTTTGCCCATGACTGAAAGGAACAGAAAGATAAGATCCCAGGAATACCTTCTTAGAAACCTTGATCCTTTGATTATAGGAGAAAATAGCCAAGCAGTTCTTAAACAATCAAGGCCATTCTCGTCTTGGCTACAAGTTGGTTGAAAATGCTATCAGTTCTGTACCTTGAGTTAGTTAAGGTTGGGATAAAAAAGAAATTCATCATGCAAAATTAAGACTAACTCTTCTCCTGGACCTCCCGCACCTCTGAGTTGTGTTAGGATTCACAGCATTTCTCTTTAAATATTATACAGTGACGCATTGCATGTCTGCTGCCTTGAAGCTTCTGAAGCTCTCCATGGTCAGTTATTTGAGCTTCAGCTTTTTGGTATAAGCTTTACATCTGCCTTGTAAGCTTTTTTAAAATCTGCCAAGATAGATATTTAATTATGCTCTATTTGTTTTTTAAAAAATAAATACCAATATCTTTTCTATTTCAGGGCATTTGATGTAGAACTGCTCTACATAGCACAGCACTTTAAAATTCCAATAGCAGAAATTGCTGTCAACTGGACTGAAATTGAAGGCGAGTATATCCTGCTCTACATTTTCTATGTGATAACCTTCTCGGCAGCCTGGACTCAGGGACCAGTACCCTGAAGAGTGTCGTCCATTGAGCCCCTTTTTCTGCCTTGTCCCTCTGTATTTTCAGTTTTACTTAGGAACTTCAGTAAATCTCCCACCTTGACCAAGAAACTTCAGTAAAATATTATAGACAAGGTCATGGTGATCTGAAGTTAGAAGGATGATGGGTCACCTTTTGAGGGAAACCTTCGTATTAGCATAGCCGTGTTTTAGCATCATGTTATCTGTCACTCCGTGGATATTAATCAAGTCCCTACCCCCCACCATGCCAAGTTAAATACGTACAAAGATTTTAAGTGTTTTCACTCCAACTGTCCATAGTCCCTTATGAACCTTTTTCCCCCCTTTGTGGTATTGTGAAAACTCAGGGTCTTCGCACTGAGCTGCATCACTAGCCCTCTCATGCTTTATTTTGAAACAATCTCACAAAGTCACTAAGTTGTCCATTCTAGACTGGAATTTGTGGTCCTTCTGCCTTAGCTTCCCAGAATGCTGGGCTTATAAGCCTTGTACCACCATGTCTGACTAAAACCAATTTGTTAAAATATTATATATACATACATCAAAAAAATATAAAGAATATGTATAAGTTGAAATCTAACACAAATCTTTATAATTCCTTCTCAGCAGAGAGTAAGTAGCTCTGGCTGTGTAGAACTTAAAATAGGGGCCTGGGAGATGGCTCAGTAGAAAGAGCGCTTGCCTGAGTTCAATCCCCAGTTCCACAAAAAAAAAGAATTTAAAATATATTCTAGTTTTCTCTTGCATACCTTAGAGTGAACCTAAATTATTTCATTGTATGTGAACAGTAATGTAAACAACTTGCAGTAAGCCATTATTGCTCTTTAATCAGAAATATTCAGGGAAAAAAAGATTAAGAAGCAGGTTTGAGATCAGACAAACTATCTCATCCAATATTCAAAACTCTTGGTGTCTTGCTTCTTGCTGAATCAAACTGAGTTTGTCGAAACTTAACTAATCACCTCTGCCGGCCCTGGAGTCAGGGTAGCGCAGGAGGTGAAATGGGTGCGCAGCGTCAGTCTGTTGACAGATCTGTGCTGATCTGTGCCCATGGTGGTGAGCCTGTGGCATAAGTGCCAGCTTGCTGTTGAAAGCTCTGAAGGATTCCCTGGCTCTGATCTGTGCCAGACATACTGTGTGGGAGGCTAAGTGGGAAAAGTAAAGAATGGGTCACGTTGATGCTTGTTTGTATTACAGAAATAGCTACAGCAGAGCATGAATTACCACATTACTATTGTCTCATTTCTAGAATGAAGATAATATTTGTTCCCTGATTAACAACATAGTATCACACTAATACCTACGAAATGCTTTGGTGGTAATGTTTTCATAAGAAAGTTATATATATTCAAAGCAGTCAAAAAGCTTTTCTTTGAGGATAAAAAATAAAAATGGCAATGAAATTTTGAACTTTTCTCTTAATAGATGTTTGTTTGCAGGACTAGAACAAATAATGACCTTAATCTTCTGTGGTGTGTGAACCAGGCATTTGGTTAGATTGGTTCTCCTGTGTATCCTGAGATGAAGTCTGGGAAAACCGTTTACATATGATCGTAGACTTTATTTTTCACTGTTACAGTTGGATCATGTGTAGAAATAATTGTGTTTGCCTTTTATTCAATAGGATGCCGTGAGTAGCTATGTGAGGTATTTCCAGAGCCTACCCATTGCAGCCCCTTGTTCCCTTAGTAGGGGCCTCGGAGATTTCCACAATGTAGATGCTCCCAAGTCTGATTCTTCAAGATATTTTGTTGTTTGTTTTGGGAAACGATGCACTTCATCCTTGAAATATTTGAGTGCTAGCAGCTCACGGAGATATGTAGACTGACTTCTAGAAAGTGGTTTTTAAATTCAGGTATTTTATCCTGATTTAAGTTAATTTATTTTAATGTTTTACTTGCAGGTTCAAAATTAGTTCCATTTTGGAGCTGGTTACAAATGGGCAAGGATCTACTTTTTATACGACTTCGATATTTAACTGGTGCCTGGAGACTTGCGCAAACTAGGAAAATGAATTAGGTTGTTCACAGTCTGATTGTACTCTTTTGCATCAATGGAACATTTCATTTGAATTTAAAATTTTAAATAAAGCAGGAATAAACCTGTCATTGTCTGCCTTTTGATAATTTTTAAGACTCAACTAACATAATAATTAAAATGTTTTTATATCTTTTGGTATTAAAAAAAGTTGTATCAGAATTGCTTTTGCAAGAGGGCTGGCCAGATAGCTCAGTAGAATAAAGTGCCTGCTTCAGCAGAGCACAGGGATCAGGGTTTGATCCCCAGCAAGCCATGCTGGCCTGCCCCCAGGACGCACTGAGACTGAGCCTAGGCTTTGTGTGGTGCGCATGTAATCCCAGCACTTAGGAAACTGAAATCAGGAGAATCACTACAAGTCCAATCTGTGTAGTGAGACCTTGTAGACCCTATACTAAATTATATGATAAACAAACAATTTTATTTAGGTTACATATCATAGTGATTTTGAGAAGTACTATTTTTAGAAGTTATTATCCTTGGGCTGGCCAAATAGCTCAGTGAATTAAAGCACCTGCAAGCAGGTGCAGGGGCCAGGGGTTCAATCCCTGGCCTACTGTGCCGGCCCCGCCCCCCGGGTACCCTGAGACAGGGTTTGAGACTGGGTGTGGTGGCACACATCTGTAATCCCAGCATTTGGGAGGCTGTAAACAGGAGAATCAGGGTTGGGGAGATGGCTCAGTGGAATAAGTGCCTACCTGGCAAGCACAAGGGCCTGAGTTCAATCCCCAGTTCTGCCAAAAAAAAATAGAATCACTGAGTCTGATCTAGTAGTAAGACTCTGGACACCCCATAACCCCTTCCCAAAAAAATACAAAAAAAAAAAAAAAAGAAAAGAAATTATCCTTAAAATGCCTGCATCATTTTCATTAACTTAAATATAAATCATAGTCATGTAATAATTTTCAGAAATTTAGAAATGAAGCTATGGTATAAGTTTAAATATGTACAGATTTATCCATATCACTAAAACCCATATTTCAGCCTATGCAAACTAAATAATTAAAGGCAAAAATACAGGTTTAGTCACAGAACAAAATTTTTTTTATCCAGACTTACCACATTTTACTTACGTAATATGCAGTCTTCCCTCTTACAACCCTTTCATCTTGATTTTATGTTATTTGGAGATTGTTTAAAAATAAAAATGTTAATATTAGTAAAAAATATTTAATATATTTGCTTAGTACACTTAATAGACTCCTCTTGGAGATACTATCATCCAATAAAACAGTGGACCTCAATATATCAAAACTGGATTGTCTGACATTACTAATAGTTGTAATACCTGTTACCATGTGTATTTTAAATTGCACTGACGGCCCTTGTGTTGAAAGGTTCTGTCCTCAGCTTTGGGCACTGTTAGGCAGTGGAGCCTGTGGTGGGCGAGGGGGTGCTGTAAGGAAATAAGGTGCCCAAGCTGTGCCCCACCCACTTGTCCTTCCAGGCTGCTGTGAGGTAGGCTGTTTCTTCATGACGTACCAACCGTGCTGCCACAGGCCTAAAGTGCCAGGGCCAAGCAACTAGACCGAACCCATGAGCCAAAGAAAACTTGTGTCCTTTTAGCTTATACCATGTGTTTGTTTCAGTGATGGAAAACTGACACCAAACATCTAACCTGTTGACTACTTAGTGGACACTATATACTGCCCTAAGCATCTGATGACTCATGGAACCTTTACAATACAATGGCAAGCTGAGGGACGAGTGGGCCACCCAGGAACAGTTTAGCCATCCCAGCCTGCAATCTGGATCCACTCCGCTGACTTAGAACTTAGTTTCAGAAGATGCAAAAATTTGAGGTAGCTAGAAAGTCGCAGAAGTGCATTGAATATATATATATATATGTTTTGTTTTTTTTTTTGGTGGAACCAGGTATTGAACTCAGTCTCTTGCGCTTGCCAGGGAAGCATTTATTCTACTGAGCCACCTCCCCGGTCCCACATTAAATATTTCTAAAGATAAAATTTAGTGAACAATAGCTGGGTGTCGCGATGCACACTAATCCCAATCCCAGCACTCAAGAACCTGAGGCAAAAGGATTGCTGAGAGATCAGGCCTGAACTATATAGTAAGAGCGTGTCTTACAAAAAGAAACAGTGGACAAGTAAGCTAAAATGACAAGTAGTGTGACCACCAATGGTAGTACCACATCTGTAGTAGACAGTAATTTCTGAAAGTCAAGTCCATTTCTTACGGAAATTAGTATCCCCAGCAATCCGTAGTTTTTTTGTTTGGTTGGTTTTTTTGAGTATTTCAGGGAAGGGTCTACAGGGTGTTCAGAGTCTTACTGCTAGATCGGACTTGTAGTGATCCGCCTGTTAACAGCCTCCCAAGAGCTGGGATTGCAGGCCTGTGCCACCACGCCCAGTCTCAATTGCTGTCTCAGCATGCCCCCGGGGTGGGGCCGGCACAGCAGGCCCAGGGATTGAACCCCTGGCCCCTATGCTTGCTTGCAGGCACTTTAATCCGTTGAACTATTTGGCTGGCTCTACCGTGTAGTTTTGATGTAGTTATAGGAGTAAACTTTATTCAGATGATAGCATTGAAATCACTTAAATGAATACAGCAATGAAATAACTGATTATTGTTCCTTGTAAAGCAGTAATAAAAATGTGTAAATAAAGTATGATAGAAATTTTGCAGGAAAGTTCCAGGCTTTTGTGTAATTTATGCTAAACACTAAAGGTCTCAGCCTTGATGCCAGCTTGATTTTCTAAGAACAGGTTCACTAGCTAAGAGAAGACTAGAATCTGATGGAAAAAATAGTTTCATTTGCTTTACAGCACCTGCTAAAAAAACAATAGGCAGCAACTTCAGAAGTGAAAATATCTGCTACTATTCCTTTAGTATCTGTAAGCATTTTGGATCCATTATTTAGTTAAGTCTGATAAACAACTCCATCATACAGATATTTTACAATGAACAAATAGGCTTAGACAAGTAATTTGCCTGAGATACATAAGCAGTCAGTGGTTCTCCTGAAATAAAGGCTAGGAACCATGAAAGCATGGGATATTAAACTTTACACTGTAATATTATAATCAGACCACTTGAATGTTTCTTTTCTGACTTGGTGTTTGCTGGTGTACCTGGAGATTGAATCCAGGGATTTCACAATAAACTACATCTCTGGCCCTTTTTATTTGAGACCCAGTCCAAGCTGCTAAATTGCCCAGACTGGGCAATTCTCCTGTCTCAGCTTCCCAGAGTGCCGATATTACTGGTGGTCAGCACCATACCCAGACTGACTTGTTCTTATGGAATATTTATGATGTTTACATAACTTAAGGTCACAGCTGTACAATATTTCTTGATATCTGTAATTCTTGATCTCCATATAACTTTATTTCTGCAATTTCATAGTTGATTCTCTAACTATTTTCCATTTTCTTTCTTCAGCTATAATTTCCTTAGAAACAGAAACCTTGCCTTCTACTCCATTTGTGTCTCCATAGCATCTTAAATTGTACTTGCTCAGTGAAGTTCTTCCAAATGGCCAAATGATGCTACCACCCTAATTCATTTGTTGAAAACTAAGTGGATGTGGGTGTCTATGTTATCCACAGCTAAGTCTCCGAAGCAGTCTTGCAGATAGCTTTCTTTTTTGTGCAATCTCAAAAACACCAAATCTAGATGCTGTTTTTTTAATCCAATAAGAGATGGTATGTGTGTAATTTTCTGATTTGTAGAAAAACTCATTAGTGGTCACAATACCCAATGTTTTCTAGATTTGGTCCTATTTATGTCCTAAGATTGACGACAGAGAAGGGACAGAGACAGCGGCAGTCTTTACCTGTTCATGACCTCAATGCATGTCAAAAATCGTCCTAGAGGGCCAGGGAGATGGCTCAGTGGAATAAGCACTTCCCTGGCAAGTGCAAGGGCCTGAGTTCAATCCCCAGTTCTGAAAAAAAAAAAAAAATCCTCCTAGGGAGATAAAGGATTTTCTATTCTTCTGACCCATGAGTAGAGTAACAAGATATGTATGCATGGAGCATAGAGGGTAGCTCTGTTGGTAATACTGGTGCAATGGCAGGCACATAGGCCCCAAAGTCAGGGTGACCACAAAGTGCGCCCCTGCTGTCCAGACGTGTGGATTTTCTCAAGTCCTCCAAAATAACATTGTAGGGGAAATCCATCATAACCACCCGGTAGCCCCTTTTCTGCAGGGGATGTGTGCCATGACACAATAGGAACTATAACTACAGATAGTACTGAACACTACATGTACCTCTGGTAAAGTTTAATTTATAAATTAGACAGAGACTAAGAATAGTTACAATATACTGTAGTAAAGGTTATGTGAATTTATCTCAAAATACCTTTTTATGACACTGTGACCCATGGGTCAGAGTGAGGTTGATCATGAAGATGAAACTGGAGAAGGGGAGGCTACTGTACACACTGTCAAGTGCAAATTATCCATTCCACGGCCCTCTCAGTGAATACATACTGAGTGCCTAGGAGTATTACATAAAAGGATTTCTACCCTCAAGTAGTCTACTTGGAAAGTAAAGAAAATGTCAGACATTTAAACAACAGTGCAAATAATACAAGATCAAGGAACCAGATGTATTCTGACAAAGTATGGATTTTAGGAGTCCAAAATGAGGAAATTGTCTATAGGACTCTCCCTGCTCGTTGCACAACTTTAATGAAAATAGAATCACTTCCATTTGGGAAGATAGTTTGTATCTCCACTCCTTTTGCAGTCTTCTTAAATGAAATGGCAATCCTACCTGTTTGTATTTTGCACTTAAAGACCTGTAGACAAGACCTAGGGAAATCTTTTCTCTAGGAATTTTAGTGAATGGGCCAGCTGAATGAAAT